GGGCTTCAGAAAGATTAGAAGTCAAGAGGATGGCTTCAGAAAGATCAGAAGGTCAAGATGGGGGCTTCAGAAAGATTAGGATGGCTTCAGAAAGATCGGAAGGTCACGATGGGGGCTTCAGAAAGATTAGAAGTCAAGAGGATGGCTTCAGAAAGATCAGAAGGTCAAGATGGGGGCTTCAGAAAGATCAGAAGGTCAAGACAGTGTCTTCAGGAAGTTCAAAAGGTCAAGAGGGTGGCTTCAGAAAGATGCTTCAGAAGGTCAAGATGCTTCAGAAAATTCAGAAGGCCAAGATGGTAGCTTCATGGGTGGAGTCGCAACCACCAACTTCCCCCTACTGATTCTCCTTGGAGATTCCCCAGTTCCTCCACCGAGAAAGTCCCTAGGTCAACCCAACCCTAGTTAGGTTCTTGGGGAAATGCAACTACAATTCACGAGAGAAAGCTAGAAACCCACACCCGGTCACCTGCAATTCTTCCGAGAGGGTGGTGGATTTTCCAAGGGACTCGGCGACCATCTCCTGGGTCACCGGGAAGTTGGCCGGGATCTCGGTGCACTTCTCAATCACCACAGGGTTGACCCCGTTCAGATACTGGTAGCCAAAAAAGGTATCTTCTTCCCAGTGATCAGCCACGTACTCTGGAGAGTCAAGAGAGGATCGAAAGCAAAAAGGGGGTGACTTCCTGACGGATCACAAAGTGCGCCCCGAAAATCTTGAAGGTCAGATGATGGACCGTGAAGAAGGGAGGACCGACAAGTTGGACAAGGTCCCTTACAACGCTGTTATTCTATTAGTAAGTCAAAGTTGCAGTGTTACAACTGTCTGTCCTTTCACCACGTCCAAGATGGCCACCTTACTATTCCAACACTAGGACCGGGCTCTGCACGTCCATTTTATCTTGGATGAATTCTGGGATTTTGTCCGTGTCACATAGGAAAAGAGCAGGCCGAGCTGGAGGTGGAATTAAGGGCGTCATGAGTTTAGAATTGTTAGTTGCCGCAAATGGTTCACCTCCAGCTCCTGAATTCTGTTGACCCTCATTGGGCTCCAATTGAGCATTGAACTTTAATTGATTTAGATTCTTGGGCATAAGTTTGAGTCAACTGAAGTTCGATACTCAATAGTTTAATGTTTTCCACAGTGGCTGGGGAATTCTGGGAGTTGAAGTCCACCAGTCTTAAAGCAGGCTGGCTGAGGGATTCTGGGAGTTGAAGTCCACCCATCTTAAAGCAATCTGGCTGGGGAATTCTGGGAGTTGAAGTCCACCCCTTAAAGCATGGCTGGCTGGGGAATTCTGGGAGTTGAAGTCCACCCATCTTAAAGCAGTCTGGCTGGGGAATTCTGGGAGTGGAAGCCCACCCATCTTTGAAGCCCCTCAATTCTGGAGCTCCGTGTTCTGTACATGGCCCCCGTGTTTCCGCCACGCATTTTAGCCACTCCCCGTATCCGTGGTCATCCCGTATTTTTCCTTCGTTGCCCTCCTCGGATACCAACCTGAAACCAAAGTCTTGTTGAACCAGAAAATCTTGCGGATGTGCTCAAGTCTTTTCCAGGATTCGTGGTAGCTCATTAAGCCTTTTAGCCGGATCTCCAGACGCCTGAGGATCAAACGAGAAAGGGAGACGGAGTGAATCCGGGTCGCCCGTCATGTCGCCAGATCAGGGTGAACCGTTTTTTTCTTCACAAAGAAGGAAGGAAGGGTAAATGCAGAGGCTTCCCCTGTCGGCTTGGTGGGAGAGGTCTGGGTGAGTCTTTCTTTAGGCCTACGTGAGCCACAGGTATATACACAGAGAGCAAACCTCACCCTCCCTTCTAGCACTGATCATGTTCCCTAGTTGGGTGATGAAATGTCTGCAAGGAAAACAATCAAGCTCAGAGGGCACCAAGGTGTCCACAGCAATTCTCCTCCTCCTCCTCCTCCTCCTCCTCCTCCTCCTCCCTTCTAGCACTGATGATGTTCCCAAGTTGGGTCATGAAACATCTGCAAGAAATCAGCCAAGCTCAGAGAGCGCCAAGGACCCCACAGTCCTCCTCCTCCTCCTCCCCTTCTTCTCTTCATCCTCCTCCACCTCTCCACAAACCCTACTTCCTTCTAGCACTGATGAGGTTCCCTTATTGGGTCATGAAATGTCTGCAAGAAAACCACCCAGCTCAGAATAGCACCAGGGACCCCTCAGTTCTCTCCTCCTCCTCCACCACCACCTCCTCCTCCTCCTCTCCTCCTCCTCCTCCTCCTCCTCTCTCTCTCTCTCTCTCTCGATAAACCCCACTTCCTTCTAGCACTGATGATGTTCCCAAGTTGGGTCATGAAAAGTCTGCAAGAAAACCACCAAACTCAGAGAGCACCAAGGACCCCACAATCATCATCATCATCATCATCTTCTTCTTCTTCTTCTTCTTCTTCTTCTTCTTCTTCTTCTTCTTCTTCTTCTTCTTCTTCTTCTTCTTCTTCTTCTTCTTCTTCTTCTTCTTCTTCTTCTTCTTCTTCTTCTTCTTCTTCTTCTTCTTCTTCTTCTTCTTCTTCTTCTTCTTCTTCTTCTTCTTCCTCCTCCTCCTCCTCCTCCTCCTCCTCCTCCT